TATTATCTTCCTTTGCCTTTCCATGGAGGAATTCTTAATGCATCATTAGACTTATATCCATTTTGTCTTCAAAACTTCCTTATCAAACTGGAACAGGCTGAAAGATTTTGTCTGATTCATATTCCCCCCAGTTAGTTTGAAATAAAGTTGCCGCTGGTCATTTTCCAACATAACCAAATTCTTTCTGCCCAACTATCGTTCTACACATTTCCCTCCCATCTTCCATTTACAGTTCTGATCTAGGGAAAATTAGGGTAAAACTACACTGTTTCACATAGTAAATCACCATGTACAAACATGAAGAGACTCCAACATGATGTCCCTCAGATCTTTAAATCACCTCATTGGCTATTGCAAGAGGAACATGAGGATGGAATGGGGAGGGAGATGTCATGCAGTAATAGGAAAAGTTGTGAGGAAAGTTCACAGATAAATAATGGCCATGATATTCAGAAAATCTCATTCAGTTCTGAATCAGGGTTGGGCATTTAACACTGATCGCTTTTTGAAGGGTGAAACACAGCAAAGGTAGGAGAGGTTAGTCCTAATGTTATGCAAATAGAAGAAATCAGGACTTTCAGGTCCCCTCCCGACCCTGATTGGGGTAGAGAGATGTGGTTGTCTATTTCAGTATTTACAGTAAGACAATTGTACTTTTTCCCCAGCTCAAACAATGGAAAATTCTTATCAGCTTATAGCAAATCTTGTCAGAGAAGATTCGTTGGATTCAAAGAGGGCTGTGAGACTTTGCCTATCTGTGCCCTAAAGGACTACAGAGACAGGAATCCTTTCTTTTGGTATATAATTAATCATAGCTTGCTTCTGAACTAAAACAGTTTGGAAGTTTGTTTACCATATCACTGAGGACCTGCCACCTAGCTGAGGTTGGCCAATGTGAAATGTGGCGAAATTCATAATTACTGGAATGGGAGGCTATCAGGAGATCTCAGGGCTTTAGGATGATTGCCTCTAAATCACCCCAAAGACAGTGACAAGCCACTTCTATCTGACCAACCATACAGATCTACATGGAGTCATCACAAGTTTAGATGGACTCAAAGGAGATTTTACTTTATTCAAGAATATGCATATTTCTTTCACTCTTTATGACTAGGCACATAGGTATATAAGCCTTTCCAAACCATGTGGGATTCAGATAAGTTGGATGTGAAATTCCATTATAAGCATTCAACATGATTTATATGATTAATAATGCAAGTGTTGTGTCAAGACTGCCTGAAGCTTTGCAGGTCGTAGTGGGTTGCTAGAATCATAGTCTAACAAGTCACAGAACAGACTGCCAAATTTTCTGCTAAAAAAAAAAAAAATGGGGGGAACTATAATGGTTATCTACCCTTAATATGCCAAATATTTCACAGTTTCCTACGTAATTGATCTACTCCAGGGCAAAGTCAAATTAAGTGTAATTAACAAGAATTAATACCAACG